GGAATTTGTCCAAAAAGAAGCAAGCTCCATATCTTGAGAAAATATAAAAAGCCCTTTATATCCAAGCCCTCAAATATCTGATACTTTACAACAACATCAAAGAGTTAGAATAAATATTCATGAATGATAACGAGAATACAGGTCAGTAGATTTTATCAAGATGTGGCATGTTATAAACCACCGGGCTGCAATTTATCATATGCTAAAGACCATAAACAGCCCGAATTTGATCAGAACATACATATTATTGCAACAATCGTATCAAGAGGCAAAAATTATTAGAGAAGAAAAATTACTTAAGCGCAAAAGGCTCAAGGAAAATCCCAAAAAAGAACCAATGTAAGACAATAGGCATCTCGCGTTCATCAATACAAAACAACAATTCACCAACCGACCAGTCGACAAAAAATCCTGCTCACAAAAAATAAGCAAGCGAAGCAGCAGCTACGCGCTAAAAGTCCAAACAAACGAGATTCTTCGCGATTAGTGAGCAAAAAGAATCTCACAAGATTTCCGGCATTGAATCAAGACGAAACCCTAATTCACCAACCGACCACTCAGACAAACTTCCAATTCACGAAAGGCAAATGAAACAAACAGCACCCCGCCACAAACTGCTAACTAATTAGAATTTCTTCGATCAATGACCAAACATAAAAACCGCACAAGATTCCGTCGTCCAATCAACCATAAACAGATAACCAAATTAAAACGAGTGACAACGAAGAAACCTAGAAATCCCACACTAAATCCGGTCAATCAATCCGTCAATCGAAAAACACCATACACCAAACATATAGGGGGGGGAAATTTGACCTAGATAGATATATTCACAAAATCAAAGAGAAATCGGAATGAATCGGTACCGAAAAATGAAGAAGCATAACCTCCGCCTCCAAGAACGGGAGGAATTGGGATCCAGAGCTTCCCTAAACGCTCTTCTTCTTCCCGCAAATCTTCTCAAAGCCACAAAGAAAACCAGACGGATTCCCAAATACACAAAAAGAAGAAAAAAACACGAGATCTTTGCTGCGTGCCAACCAAGGTAATGATCCCTAATTTTCCATAATGACCCACACCGAAACCCTTTTATACATCCGGGGTTCGTATTCTCTACGGCCAGACCCACCGGTTTCTAATCTGCTCTCGGATTTCGACCCAATGATCAGCTGGTTGGTGCCACTTGCCAGCTATCCAGTGCCCTTTCGCCATCAATTTAATAATAAATTTAGTAAATTTTATCTTCAAATTGGTTTATATTCTCAACATTATTTTCAATTTTCAAAATTTATTAAATACAAATTTTAAATTACTTAAATTAATATTTTTAAAAAATTATTACGCACTAAATTAAAATTTTAAATAAGTTCAATTTAAATTTTTTATTTTATATTTTTTTGCGTTAAATTAAAATTTTATTGACTTTTAAAATTTTAAATACAATATGGATTTCTAAATTTATAAACGAAATTTATTTATTTATTTATTTATTTATTTATTTATTTATTATTATTATTTTATTTTTTAGACCACCCAATATTCCTTTTCCGACTTTGATGGATGGTTCGGTTGGTAAATTATCTTTAATTGGAATATTTCTCAAACCTAATTTATTTTCCAATAAAAACAAGAATACCAAACTTTAAAAAAAAATCTGTATTTAAATATTAAATTTTAGAAAATATTCAATAAAACGTCTAAACTTTATATTTTATTGTCTCTTATAATATACCGTTGACTTTCTCTCCACCTGTTAAATTCAAAATTCATTCTCATGTCTGAAAAATAAAACTCAAAATTTAATTATTTTTAAGTTTAATAGATAATTAATATATTTATCTACTTCACTGTATAATATTTATTTTAGTTTTAAATATTATAAAATATAATAAATTTAAATTTTCGAAGAATAATATCCAACGATAATATCTTTTAATTAGTCGATGCACACAATATTGGAAAGGATGAGAATAAATATATATTTGTAGGAATATATAAATTTTTAAATAAAAATAATAATTAAATAAAGTGGGTTTCGAGAATCTTGAATTATGATCGATGAAAGTAATAGAATATTTTCTTGAATTTATATTCCAATCTCAAATTGGATACTAAGAGATATATTTATCGATAAGGATGCGAAAAAAATAAAATACATCTATTTAGATTTTAATTTTTAAATAATATTATTTATATTATTAAATTTAAATTTTTACAATATAGGTAAAAAAAAGTAAAATAAAATATTTTGTGAGTTAAAATATTGTTATATTGATTTAATAAGGTATTTATAAGTAATTCTATTATAAATATTATTTATGAAAATTTTATTAAATTAAATGAATGGAATTGAATTTCAATTTAAAAGCACAAAAATTTCATATATTTTTTGACTTAACTGATGTTGCGTTCAAAATTCTATAATATATATATATAGATTTGTTTGTTTAGTAACTCTTTAAAAAAATAGTTAAATATTTATAAAATTAAAAATTTATGCAGTAAAATCTAATTTAATTAAATTAAATGTAACTCCTAAATTATTTAGATTAAATTAAAATATATAAAAATCATAACAACTTGATTTGTAAGTAAATAAACTAAGAGAGAGATATTTATGAGTAGCGAGCAAGCGAAGGTTCCTCCACTGGATTGAGTTGGATGGTTTCTCTCTTAGCTGGCCGACACGTAACTACTACTCTCTGCCACGTGTCACACTATGTCTCAAGACTTTTCTCTTTTAAAATAATATATATATATATGAAACGAAAATAAATATTTCAAAATTGTAAAAAAAAAAAAAAAAAATTCACATGATAGTATATATTATTTTTTAAAAATAGAAAAATCAAGTGGCTGTAATATAATATATATATATATATATATATATGGACAAATTATTTTTTTCCTCCATTAAAAGCTGATGTTTTTTTAAATTTTTTTTACTCCGAATCTCGAGCACGTTAATAGAAAATATTTCACACATTAATATGGTAACGACTCGTAAATGAATTAAAATTTTATATTCTATAAATTAAATTAAAATTATTGAAATAAATATATCTGATTAGTTTAAATATATATTATTGGTTATTAGGTTTGACCCATAATGTTAAATTTATTTATTTTTAACAATATTGGAAATGTTCTAATTTTTACTCCAAAGATATTATCGAATTTGGTGGTCCACCGAAAAGCTGCCACCACTTATTCTTAAAAATTCAAAATATTTTGTTTGGATTTGAAAAAGGAAAATAATTAAATTTTAGGCTTTATTTATTAGCTGTCAGTAATCCTCAGCCACTCAATTTGTGGACAAAAGTGCAATTTATGCGGATTAAAAAATATATATATATATATATATATATATCGTTGCCGTATATATTTTCTAAAATTATAATTATTTTAGAAAATTGTACGTTTTATATTTTAAAATAATGGAAAAGTTGATGTGAAAAGGGTGGAATAAAACGTGAATTTCAAAGGAAATGTGTAACACGTGCTTATTATTATTATTATTATTTTAGTTAGAAGTTGAAACAAATGTGAGTATGTGAAAGGAAAATATGCCATGGAAGGTAATTATCAAACTTTGGTTAGGTTAAGAATATCTTGAGAGATACTCAACGGGATAGTGATCAGTCTTTTTCTCGATCTCGTTGAGACATGACTGAAAAAGTAGTTGTGTTTGTTTTAGTATCGATTTAAATTTAGTCTTTTTCTCGATCTAGTTGAGACATGACTGAAAAAGTAGTTGTGTTTATTTTAGTATCGATTTGAATTCAACGTTTTTTTATGCGCTTAGTTAAAGATTATATGTTTTTAGTATTAGATTTAGAGTTAAGTATTTGAATGAGACCGAAAGTATGAAAGGGTTTGAATTAGATTGGTTATTTATTTTCTTTGAGTTTGATAATGACAGTAAGCAAAATTGACCTTTTTATATCTCGTCAAAGTTTGAATTGATGGAGAGATAAAAGTAACAAATGAACTACACCTTCCTCTAATTTCATCGGTAATCGAGATACAGTTTGTAACGAGAATTGTAGCAAAATTGATAAGCTAACAAAGGGGTGAAAAAAGGATTGAAGGGCAAACCGAAAGCATGCAAGGAGAGTATAGAGAGAGTATAACCATTCATATTTGATGCACGTGTGAGTATACGAGTCTATTTTATTTTTACTAAATGTATTACAAATTGCTTGAACGACACTTCATTATTGTGTGTTCATAATCTTAGATGGTCGCACTCTTGCTCTTCCTCCTAGACAGGGAGGATGAATAATATTTAGGTTTGATGTTATTGCAAGGTCGTGGACAAGGAAGCTAAGAAGATTAAGAATGACATGGCTGAAGATGTTAAATCGAGAACAACACGAAGATGAAGAAGAGTTCATAAAAGGAGGAAATTAACAAACATTACAACAAAACGTCTTAGGTTGGCTATCTAATATACAGAAAGTTGTTCGTTTCCTTTCGTTTGTAATTTATTTTTACCTCGTACCACTATGTGCAACATAGATAAAATTTATAGATGTGACAAGATTCTTTTGTCCGAGCAAAGGTGATCACAAAGATTGTCGAGTTGACAATGTGACGGTTTGACCGACGAGGGTGGTTCATAGGAGGGTCCGATTGAGGGGCGGAGAGATGGAGACAAGCAAATGATCCACCTTCATCCCAACTCGTTAGAGAACTGGCCAATGTGCACCATGCCCTAGTCCAAAACCTAAACTTTATTAAGCTAAAATTTGATATAAGCCGAGTTCGTGTTCTATGACTGACACACGTCTAAAGAACCAGCTCCTTGCTCTTTTCTTCGCTACAATTTCCGACTTCGTCATTCGACCAGACACACACAAACACACTGATGCAGGACCATCCATTTCTAGTTCATGTTCCATTTTCAAAATTTTAACACAGGAAGTCATTGATAATTGCTTCACAAAGGCTTTTGGGAATCTAAACGATCATATAGCCCAAATGAATTAAGCTTTTGATGAAACAAAGAAACATATTGTGACTAAACTACACATATTACATAAACCACAGGGAGACTGAGAATGCAAAAGGAAACTAAAACAGTGTTACAAAGATACATTAACTTATCAAAATATAAAAGGCAAAGCAGTCATCAAACAGAAATGAGTGGACTCAAAACTATGCTTACAGATTGTCCAGAATGCAAAACACAGTTTCCAAGCAACACTGTACAAGAAGATTTCAGGAATTCAGACACCAAAACAGATAGCATTTCACTTTGGTGCTACTCCTGCAACAACATCTCTTCTAATTTAAAGAACTAAGGCATTCAGGGAGTTTAGAAACTTGCCTGTGCGTTACGACGCATTACCTAGCCGTGAAGCCACTGTTACCATAAGCTGGAGGGACAGCGGCCAAACCAGGGCAATCCCTGGCCCAATGCCCAGTTTGATGGCATTTGAAGCATTCCCCAGAGACACCACCACCGGAAGGGCCAGAAGATCGATTTGAATACATTCCCCCTCCAATGGGATGCGTAGGAGCACTTGTTATACTCGGGCAGTTCATCGAGCTGTGACCAGAGCCCCCGCAGCTGTTGCAGTACGTGTGTGAATTATGCACCATGGATGGAGAAGGCCTAGAACTGCTGTATTGGTTCTCATACTGAACACCTAGGTTTGGTGTACCATATTCTCTGCTGCTAACATTGCTAATGTTTCGACTGGGTGACACGAACTGTCCACCACCAACATTCCCGGCACCACGAAGTCCGAGATCATGTATGGTGCTTTCTGTCTTTGGGGTAACAGAACTGGCGTTCTCTGCCCTGAGCTTTTCCATTAAGTCTAGAAGAAATCGGGACTCAGTCGAAAAATTAATGCTTTCTGCTTTCACCACTGTTGACCTTACTCTCTGTTCATCACTAAAAGTCTCTTCCTTTATTTTCAGCTTCATGATAAATTTTGTAAAAAGAACCTTACGGATGATTTCTGCAAATTTCTCATCATCTTGCTCTTCGTATTTCAAATAATACAATCTTTTTGCAGGTACGCCCATGATTTCCTCACCACCTTCTTGAAATGCAGTTACCCAAGTTAAACCAGTATGATCCTGTATTTGCAGCTGGAGTATGTATCTGTAATCACATTCGTCAACAGACTGATCACACCGGTCACATCTCCATTTTCCATCTCCATTATTTGTAACCTTTTTGCTGCATTGTCGGTCCCCGATCATGATAGGACATGCTGTGTAACAGAAGTTGTCTACCTTAATAAATGAAACGGTTGCACTAACAGTAATCCAATCAGGCTTCTCAGAGGTTCCTAACCTCTCATCTTTTATTTGAGATATGGTCTTACGGACATCTGTCCTGCCTATGCTAGAAACTTCCCTCGATATAGACACAGACGGAGTACTCCTCCCTTCCTTCTCAAACCACTCTCTCAGCGTACGAGCCTCAGGAAAATCTGGCTCTACAGACAGCTGACTTGATGAAATGGTTCCCACTGCCTTCCCATTGAAGTCACTCACCCTACCAGATTTCACAGCCAGGACTGGGAACATCCCTGAGTCGCACATATTTTGCAATCGTTGCCCTTCTGCTTGACAAAAGTTTCCCCAAAGGGTCAATTCAACACTTCGCCCAGACATATCTTTCAACTGAAGGGTTCTCTTCTGAGTCTCGATACCATTTTTTCTCATTATAGAAGTTGAAGGATTAATGGAGGTAACAACACCAATTAAATCTACAACACTGTTGTTGTCCATGCCTTCAATCTCACTAATCTGATGGAAATGGAACTGCTGTTGGGGGATTGATTGGTCATCCTCAAAGCAAGGTTGGATTGTTGATGTGCTCTCAAGAAATATTTCAAAGTCATTTTTGAGATGGTTAAAGTTCTTTTGAGCAGGTTTCAAGCTTCCTTTAGAAATGAAGTAAACTTTACCGGGTTCAATCTGGTTGTAAAACTGGTCAGCTACCATGTTGAAACACGTAACTCGTATTTCTCCACGGTGTGCATCAAGTAGATCAAATGAAAACACTTTCCCATCTCCACGAGGATTATTGTAGTGTCTAAGTTCTCCTTTTGAAGTAACTCGAGCCTTTATTGTCCACCTTCCTTGGTAAGGGTTCAGAGCAGTAATAGGCATTATCCTTGGGGGAGCTTCGTTTTTTGCTACTGGACCTCTGTTGCTGTACATTGAAGGTGGCTGCTGATATGTTGGCTGAGGACAAGCATAAGCATTTAGAGGTGGCCTTGGATTATCTGATCCATTGTTGTGATATGCCATTTTCTGATCACCATATGACCCACTTAAAGAAGATGACCCGTTAAACCTTGTTCCAGGATCTGTCTTATTAGGGTAAAGAGGAGGTGCGATTGACGCAGTGTATCTTCCAGATTCCGGAGTGTTTGAATAAGCTCCCACATGCGATGCATGTGATTGATTCACTTTAGGCAGTTCAGAAGATGCACTAGATACATTCATTTTACCAGCTATTCCACTACTGGGTGAAGTCGCCACAGAGGATTGGGGGTTTCCACTAAATGCACCTGTTACTGATCTCGTTGCTGGTACAGGTTCGCCAATAAATTCGCACATTTCCACTACCACATCCAACTCAATGACAATTATAATCCTGCGATCAATTGAAATTGACATGTCATAAAGAGCATATAAAATAACTCCCCCCAACCCCAGGAAAAAAAAAAACAACAAATAAAGAAGGAAAGATAAAAATCAAGTAAAATAAAGAAGAGCAAGATAGCATCAATACTACGCAAAAGAGAGAATTTTTTACATGCAATAAATTATCTCTTCAAAGGCAGGGTCGATAGATCTAAAAGAGGAAGCAGTAAAATGACTGTGATGCGTGCAACCTATTGTAAAACACATCAATAAACAACCTGTAAGGCCGTTCACATCAATAAACAGCCTTTAAAGACTTAAGATTAGGAATGTTCGTGGAACTCTGAGGCAAACTGTACACTAATTATTCAACACAATTAGACATCAACAAACAACAAGAGGATAAATCAGAATGCCTCATTGCCTTTATTAACTCACTCACTAGCACATGCGCATATGCACACTCATGCACAAAATAACATGATAAAGGGCTAAAAGGACTATGACAGTCAAAGGCTAGCGGAGAAACACATGTAAAGCTGAACGGAGCAATCATAGCTAATTGCACAAGCATGAAACAACAAAGAGGTCAATATGGAAGATCAGTTCATTGCCAGGAAACTTAAAACAAGTTTAAGTGATTTTTTAGCATAACGCCAATACCCAAGAAACAAAAAAATAACAATAACCTTTAGAGAGCAATTGGTACAAGTCATTGGAGGATTATTTTTCAAGAAATAAAATGTGTCATGGACAACTATTTTCAGTCCAATACATGAAAATAGGCCAATAGATCATCAAAGTACCATCATATCCATTATATTTTAAAACAATATTAAGATAAATGACCCGACAACCCCACCCAACCCAAACCAACCAAAATTACGTTGTAAGGTTGTGCTGAGTTCATCATCATCTAACTAGACTCAATCAAGTTAGAAGCTTAAAATAGAAACGTAGATTTTCTTTCAAAATGGAAGTAGGGAGTTAATTGTGAAGGTTGGAAAAAATAGTCATATGATACTAATGGAAAACATGCAATATTGTTGATCTACTTGCAAAATTCATAGCAGGTTCATAAAGAGGCACTCGATCTACTGTGGTTAAATTCAAGATGATGAAGAAGGGTCATTGCTCAAGCAAGAAAATGGATTGGGAATAAAGTTTTGTGAAGACAAGTGACCGCTCCATTCCTTGCTTAACGTTTTACATCCCGTGTTTTCCTTGCAAAGTTAAGGAAGATCTTGATCAGTGATACCGTTGAAACTCATGGAAGGCTATTCAATAAATTATCCTTTCATTATCTTGTCTCGATGGTTGTTCTCCGAAATTAAACAAATAACTCACAAGGGTAACTATTTTGGATGGTAACGAGTCGAAACTCCTAAAAAAGAAATCAAATTCTTCATCTGGCGCCTACCTTTAGCATTCGACATCAATTCCAAACTATATTCTGTCCAAAGCAAACAAATATCGAAATCAACTGGTTCAGTTCAAATGAAGACTTACAAGCGTTCTTGAACGGGATTACAGACATATTGCTTCAGTTGAACTATGGAACCTTTCTGCAACTTCCCAGACTTCACCAATCCATTCAGCTGAGTCCCCAACATTCCTTGCTGGTAATGTGTTCCATCAGAAAGCAACAATCTGTACCTCTCACTACCCGATTGTTGCGCAGTGTTAACCAATTTCAAGTCAATTACTTGCACAACCGGCTGGAACGTCTCTGCAGTCGATTCCCTCTTGCATATCATCATCACTGCTCCTTCCGTCAGCTTAAACTGCGCCATTGACGCTGCCATTTCAAGAAATGGTAACGCAAATCGAACACCCTAACGAAGAATTTGTGCGTCCTCAGAAGATGAAACTTCAATTCAAATGCAAATGAAACTGAATCCGAGAATGTGGAATCGAATCGACGAATAATGGGGAGAATGAGGGAGAATCAGTTTCAGAAATTTAAAACCCTAAAAATAAGGTGGGAAGCGCCATGAATTTGCGAGGGAAACCGCGAATTCTAGTATTGGTGTGAAGAAGGGCTTTGCCTTTTTATTACAATTACAATTGTATCCCTCCGGCTTCCACAACACGCATCTCCATCATGATTCCACGTGTCACATTGCCACGTCGTTAAAAAATTTATTTATAAATATAAAAACATAACGTATAAATATAAATTAAATAAAAAATAATATTTATACCCTATTTCTCGAGTATGAACTTTGGCATATCACTCGCTCGAGATGTTAAAAATTTGAAATCTCGTTAAACTAAATAAAAAAAATTAAGTTAGAGATGTGCACGGGACAGAGCGAGGATGAGGTCCCCATCCTAGACACCCTTTGCGGAGGTCCGAACCCTACGAGTAAAGGGAGGAGGAAAGAGGCCCTGGCGAACCGTCATAATTAATGAACAAGTGTAAGTTTCACTGCCCGACAGTATGGAGTACTGACCACACCGAGGAACAGTCCCTGAAGCGAAGGACGGGAACGAGCAGATTCTTCGAATATATATATATTTTTTAATAGATTATTCAAGTCTTCACATAATTCGGTATCTGTCCTCCCTTCATACTTCTTCAATTTGGGGAATTGGGCATTGACGGGGATAAATAATATAATCTCGTTCTCGACCCATTTATCTAACTAAAAAAATGTTCTTCACTTCCTATTCTATTCTCGGTCTAAATGGGAAATCTACACTTCTTTCGAGGTGGACCCCACAAGTTAAATGGACATCTTTAGATCCAAGACTATGAGCCATGTCGAGTAAGTGCTAAACGGAAAAGCAACGTCAAACTGAGCTCGGGTTAGGTTACATACGTTTAGTGGGAGTATGTTGAACATATTTACCGTGCTTAATTGTTTTGAATCCTATATCGAGTTGCACATGGGATTTTTTTCGTCTCAGTAGTCGGTATGCTCCTCAACTCGACTTCAAAGCCTTCACGAGTGCGGTTTGCATCGTTGGGTAATTTGGGCCTCTTCGCTAGCATTGACACTTTCCCATAAACTTAATAATCAATGTCTAATATGAAGTTCCATGTGCAATTTTGGAACGAGTGAAGGAAGTGATTCCTTATAACAAGCAAAGATCGTGATTCCTGTAAGTAACACTAGAACAAACGCTCGAGATCGGCTTGTAGTCGTTCATTCCTCAAATTTGGAACAAACTCATTCATAACACATACAAAGAATGGTCGAACCATTTGTTCCAACAAGAAACACAAACGAAGACGCATAAAAGTCGTTCAAAATATGGATTTTTGTTATTAGCCGTCGGATTTGGGTGTTGTCCAAACGACACTTCGAGGAGATGTGGCGGTGTTCGTCAAACGACAACACGATGACAAAAGTCAAACATCGTCATGAAATTAACAATAGACCATTTATAATCATTTATAATTATTTTTGAGACGTAATGACATTAAAGTTGAGCTTTTTTATTTTTTATTTATTATTAATTATTATTATTATTTGTTAGCTAATTTATTTAATTATAGAAAATATTCCTAAATTATTATTATTATTTTTTCAATAAAATCCATAAATTTTTAAAAGTTAAAAAAATATTTTTGAGTCGAAAAATATTAAAATTTTAATTCAATAATATATTAAAAAGTTTTAAAAAATAATAATATCATAAAATTTAAGTTTTTTTAAAATGCAAATTTATTAAAACATATTCTATTTAATACAAACACAATATTTTCTACCCGATTTTAGATTATTTGTACGTTAAATTTGGTAATTTAGATCATTTAAATAATTAATAATAAATTTTAATATTTTATTTAAAATAGATAATTTTAAAAGAATAAAATTAAAAAAAAAAGTAAAAAATTAAATAATTATTAAAGTCTATTAATTTTTTTTTTCAATATTTAAATTTAAAAGAAAAGCTTATGGTCCGAAAGGTTAAGAGGCCACGTGGCTTTGGGTACACTATAAATACCTTATAATATTCCAACACAAACAGAAAGTAAAAAAAAAAAAAAAAGAAAAAAAGAAAGTCGATCGTTTCGTCTCTCCACAGGAAAATAAAATTTCTTCTATCCCTCTGGTCAAAGGGACTCCGATCACCGGATAGATGTTTCCGGTGGCCGGAGATTTCGTCTCCTCAAATCCTTGAACTTCGTGCTGCTCATCACCGAAATCAGAGTGATTATCCTGCAATTTCAGTATTCTAATGGATTCTGAGGACGATGAGGTCTCTACGTCTGAGAGGACGACGAAGAGGGGTTATCTAGCTGTAACTATGCGATGGTGTGCCGTGCTTTTGATTCCAGTAGTTTCATTCTTTCTTGTGACTGTATCTTTGAGTTTAGTTGCTGTTTTTGTCGCCAATTCGTCAATTACTAGTCCAATTTCTTTGCGTTCTCAGTGCAAGATTGTTTCCAGCAGTAAGTTTTTTTTTTTCTTATGCACCTTCTCTTTGAGTTCGTTCCGAAATCGAGTTTTATATTTTTGGTTTTATAAGTGATAAAGACGCGCTGCTGAATACTGAGTTTGAGACTATCTGATATTGAAATTGTAGGTTCAATCATCTATGTGTTTATAGTCCCAGGATGATTTGTAACTGTAACAAGGCTGATCTAGTTATCTTCATGTGGACCTAGTGACTACGAATAGAATAATCCTTTCTTTTGTAAACAACGATCTCGTTACTGTGTTTGCGGATGGAGTAATATGTGTATAAACTTAGCTTAGAATTGACTCCATTTTCTGGATAGGCTAAAAACTAAGTGAGATATCAATGGCCACATATCAGGTACGACAGTATTATGAAAGCACTTCATTCTCTTCTTGATTAGGGAAACTATTAGAAATTGCTCAGAGTTAAGAATTTTGGTTCATTATAAATTGGGGGTTTAAGTGCCATCAGCTCCCATTTGTTAGTATTTCGATTAATGCTAAACCCTGTACCCAATGCTTTCTTTTCTGAGTGATTTTTTCTTTTTGCAGGTGTGGACCTTAGGTCATCCAAGGTTTGTGAACTTGGACTACTGAATTATAAAGCCAAGAATGTTTTCTACCCATATGAAAGAAATAAGTTTAGATGCCGATATGATTACTATTGGGCTTCAGTGTTCAAGGTTAAAAATTACAATGATTTATTCTCAACTATGTTTCTCTTTGGCATTTCCCCCTCAATATGCTTCTTAATACTTATCTTATACCATTGGCCCAGTGGCTATCACGTATTGATATCTTCAGACATCATAAGATAACATGAAATTCTAACAGTGTTGAAGAATTTGTTTTTCTTTTCATGCTCACGTTCAGATTAGTTTTATCTTCAGAATCAGCTGTAGCTCCTTTGTTCTTTTTGTAATTACACATCTTTATTGCATCAATGGCATTTGGAGGGGAATATTTATTATTCACCTGGCTCTTTCCTCATGATATCATCATCTATTGAGTATCTTAAAACAATCAATGGGAGTTTGTTTTTTCATCAATATCTGAAATGCAGTTTTACATGTTTTATACTGTGGCATCTCTGTTTGTTTATTTATTTGTACCTACTCATCAATTGTTCTGATAGATTTTTATGTATGGTTTGCCTTGATACTTTCTTCTTGAATTCAAGAGTGACCTCTGCCTTACATCTTATTTTGCAATATTTATTGTTCAATAATATGCAATCTTTTCCTTTAGCGACTTTTAAAATAACCCTTTTTGGGCAACTATGAAGTATTTACACTAACGTGGTACATAGATATGACACAACAATAACATAGTTACATATCATTTTAAAAAATTAAAACATGGACACCACAAAGATACATGCAATACATATAATTTTCTAAAAATATTTTTAATACACAGACACGTATTATTTCTTTATTGATTCTCAACTATCCAAGGTGACTTACTTCTTGGAAAATACCCATTTTCTCTATGGGAGGGAGGATGAGTTTTTATTTAGTGTTTGTACTTAGTGGGATCCTGATTTACTTTTGTTTGTGTATAACATTCCTGTCTTTGGTAGCAAGAACCTTGAGAAAACTAAAATATTTTCTGTTGGAAAAAGTTGATGAGGGAGGGGTGCTCACCGTATTAGCTAGAAGGTAGCGTCGTGGTCAATTGATCAAGAAGGGTTGGGTCTAAGTAACTTTAGATTACATAATGAGGCACTGCTAGCTAAATGGTTATGGCAATTTTCTATGGAATCAAACTCTCGTGGTGTATTCTCAGTATCAATGTGGCCCTTGTGCTTTCAATTGGGCGGGTCAAAAGCTTAAAGGCATTTCCAGAAATCTAAGGAATCTACCTCTTTGGGCTTTCCCTCCTTTCTAAATTCGTTAATTGTCTTGTTGGGGAAGGCTCAAGTAACTTTTTCTTGGATGATTATTGGGTGGGTGATAGACCCCTCCATCTTGTGTTCCTTCGCCTTTATCATCAGTCGTCCTAGTTGTGCCTTATATCTTTTATCATTTCATCCATGGCCTCTTCTTCCTCTTTCAACTTTGGCTTTTGTTGGCCCTAGTCTTATAGAAAGGCTACAAATGTTGCTACTTTAATTTCTTTGTTCGATAATATCCTTATTCGGCCTAGGAGTCGGGATATTCCTTGTTGGCTGATCCTTCATAAGAGTTCTCCTGTAGTTCTTTCTTTAACCACTCGTGGAATTGTTGCCCCTTCACCCCCGTTTATTCTCCTCATTTCGGAAGTTTAATATGCCAAAGAAGGTTGAATTCTTTTTGTGGAGGTCTTACATGGGTGTTAATACTATGGATTGGATTCTAAAGCATTCCTCCTTCTTTTGAGGCTACAATGGTGTCTTCTTTTGAGGAAGGTGTCTGAGGACGTAAGCCATTTGCTTTAGAGTTGTCAAGTTGGAATCTTATAAAGAAATTGAGGACCTTCAAAACTTCTTTCTAAGTTGTTTGGTTTTTGTGGCTGTCAAGGTGAGAACGATTTAGTCTGGAAGCTGAAGAGTTCTGGGAAGCCTATCAGTGAAGGTCAATTTTCTGACTATTGGTGTGCTGCTTTAAACTTCTCT